TCCATGAAAAAACACACTAGCACCGCACACTGCAATCTTGAAAGGATTTAAAATATGTGATTTCTGCTGGTACCTACTGTATTGGGTTTTATATAAAGCTTTTTTCAATAAGGTAAATTGTTACATGACAAACTCATCTTCCACCATTATCATCTGCTGTTTGTGTTTAACAACAGGAGTCCTGGTCTAACAAAACTGTTGTAATGGCTGTACAAATTACTCAGCTGAAAGCTTTTCACCAAACCAAACAGTATTAATCAGCAGTTCTTATGAAGGTGCTAATTAAAAACAATTTTCTTCCTCAGTTTGCAATACTAAGCCATCTTCATTTGCACAGTTTCCAATATACAGCTACTGTATACACTCACACTTCAGGGCCTCTATTAACTATTGAATCTCCTATTACCTATTTTATTACATTCCTGTCTCCCAAGTTTAGAAGCTTGTTGACATTTTGGAAGTCACAGCATGATATGTTTAATCATTTTAAAAGTACATTAATTGAAGTCAGAGGCAGGAAAAAATAACTGCTCTTCTAGCACGCCAGCTCTGGCAGGGCACTGCACTGGCTGCACGTTCAAATCCTCTTCTGCTGGCACAACCCAGCACCCATGGGCAACAGGGGGACGGTGCCTAATGCTGAGAACCTTTTATTTTTAATAAGTGATGTTCTGCAAGTGACACCGTGTTGCTTATCTGCAGGAAATGCATCCAAAATAAAAGATACTTGCTGTTAGTGCAGGCCTATCGCTCCTCCGCTGTTGTCAGCCACAACAGCTCTTTGTTTTTGGGGGCTTGGCATCTGTTGAGTTTAACCCAGATTCGAGGGTCAAGATGTTTCTTCTCAGGCTGTGGAATGCCATCTGGACCACTGCTCCGTGCATCTTCCCTCTACTTTCCACACACTTTACACACAAGAAGACAATACAGATCCAATGCCGCTGTTGGACAGAGATGGAAAATATCCAGCTTTTACCCAGCCACAACAATATGCTGGGCTCTCTGGCAGCAAGCCAGCTGCTGACTAAGCAAGGAGCCTTAATAATAGGCTAAACCTTTTAAAAAGGGGAAAGAAAAGTTAGGTTTGTTACATTCAGCTGTTTGAACAGAGTCCACAGGTTGGAGAGGGAGATGGATCTTGCAGAGAAGATGCTGCACTCAGTCTCACAAAATCTGGGGTCAGTTCTAGGGCGTACTGGCTGCTTTCTAAACGGCTACAGGCAAATGAGACAGCAACACTGTGCCTCAGGTTCCAACGTATGGGGAATGGGCATGATTTTGGGGGCATCGCCTCTCTACTTAAACATTAAATGCAAATTCACTATTGGCTTACTTTTAGCTTTACGGTGTTTTGCATCAGGGTGCCCTCATTTTGGCTGGGTTAAGTAAGTGCTGTTGTGGGGCCGATGAGAGTAACGCTGGAAATCAGCACTTAAAACCATTTTCAAAAGACGCCGGTGTGTTTACAGCCAGTGTCAGACTACTGATTTGTGACTGCAAAGCCACGGCAAGCCATCTTAATCAGACTGAGGAAAATCTAAAAGGTTAATAAAGAGATAGAAAGCATCAAAATTACCTATTTCTGAGGAAACAACACGGGACAACCATGCTGCGCAGAAAACATCTTAGATCTAAGTGGGGGTACACGCTGTCCTAGCACCTTCCACCAGCATCTCAAACCATTTCACAAGAGTTAAAGGAATTCACGGTTCGACATCACTATTCATTCACTGGTTTAAAGAAGAAGGAAACCACACAGAAGAAATCCAGGCTAAACTATGTGTTTATAACCTGCTCTGTGAAAAGACAGGGACCTGGTTATTCCCCTCTTGCATTAGGGAGAACAAGTGAAAAACGGTAATAAAACGCTGCTCTGTTTGACTTTCAGTGTTTTGCTGCCTTTTCCGTCTTTCCCCTGCCATATCAGCTGTGCCACCTGCCATATCAAGAGGTGGATCAAAAGCTCCACCCACTGCATCCTCTTTTGTTCAGGGAACAGTGAAGGAGAGTTGTAACGGAGATATAACACTTGATAAACCATATGCAGCCAGGCTCAAGATGTAAGGATGCTTCTCATGGGGTGAACAATTTTAATCCCGCTTCCCTCCTCACGCCAACATGTGGCCATTAAGCCATAGGCAAAATGTGACTGACTTGTCTAATAAGGATTTTGCAGCTGGACTGGTACCTGGGATAGTGCGTTCTCCTGCCTCTTGTGACATTCTTAAGACATCTTTCATTTCAAATCAAACTTATTACCCAAATGGAAAGATCTGTCCCAGTGTTCCAGAATGCTATCAGATAGGACTAGTTTGTAAGTTTTTCAGAAAACCTTTGCCAAATTTCACAGCAGGAGATGGAAGATTTTTTCTTGGTCCTTTATATTCTGAAGATCACAACTCACCACCAGTGGAACCAGCTGCATTAGGGCTGTGCCCAGGGGAATGGATGTCCACAAGAAGCTCGTTTCTCTCTGCCGTTTTTCCTCTGAGAGAGGGGCAAGACACAATGATGCTCTAAAAACTACCAACACATGTGAAGGAAAACTTGTATCAGCCTAACACTTCCATTCTCAGTGAAGACAGCATAACTCTTGTCCTTCATCTTTGAAGCGCTTTGCAGACACAAAGTAATTAAGCCCAATATTCTGTTACAGAACACAGTAAACTATATCATTAAAAATACAGCAAGTATCAGAGGCTAGTTAAAGCACATCACATGAAAGGCACTGATACATTTTACAAGCATGATTTGAGAAACTGCCTAACTTCTTTCTTAGCAAAGACATTTGATGTATTAATAAACACTGTATTTTAATTAAAATTTCAGAGCTCACAAACTATTTCCTACTAACATGAGGGACTCTGAGATGTCCCTAAAAAAGAACACTTTTAGTGCCTCATATATAGTAAATCCTACATCTGTCACTTTTCAATACCCATTTTAAAACAAAAAGTCAAGAAGAGAGCTTGCTTATATACCTCTAAAAATATCTGCATGGACCAAACCTGCAAGCTCTTATGTAGATGAGTAACTTCACTGCCTGTGGAGCTCCAATGTGAGCTGGTAGGATGAAGCTTAAATACATCTTTGGTAAACAAGCCATCAATTACACACTTTAGGGATGGCAGCACCTGTGCAAAGCCTTCAACTCAAGTGACAGACACTAAAGAAATAAAAAGCAATTATTGGCTACTAATTTGAGTAAAACTGTTTTCTTCTTAGGGCTAAAAACCACAATTCAGTGACACTGGCTCTATTTTTGGCAACTAACAATCTTTATTAGATTATTGTACAGCAGACATTCAAGCCCTCTCAAAAATAAAAGGTTCACAAATTGTAATATTTCAGCATTTTTCACACTCCTTTGTTGATTATAAAGATTTCCTTGTACATGGTTTTAGCAAAAACAAAGGCACTGCTGTGTGGGACAAACAAAACAAAGTTAATTAAACTAAAGCCACCTTCACAGCAATTTCAAATTACTCCTAAATGCTTGTGATTTTGTATGAGACAAGCATCTTCCAACAAGAGTTTGAACATGAAACTCATACCAGCTGTAGGGGAGACATACTACTCAGTTCTAGGATAAATGGTTGGTTTGCATTGCCCCTGGTCTTTATCTAACACCGAGAATAGGCTGCTTTTTATCAAAAGAGGAATAAATTGCTGTTATTGTGATGTTAGCCCATCGCTTGGCATTGCAATTCAAGTTTTTGTGAGAAAGAAATGTATGATCTAACTGCGACTTGACCTATGCCTTCTGAGATCCATCTAGGTGCTCTAATGGAGCATAAAAAGTATTGAATACAAGGACATGCAAACCGGTAGTGAAGAAATTTGTTTGAGAAGAAGAGCAAAGAGAAAGGGACCTTCACGAGCTCGAGGTTTACATGCTGCCCAGTTTGTTAAATACGGAAGAATGCTCACTGCCATTCTTTTAATGAATGTATTTCAGCATGACCCTCTACACTTCCTTGCTTCTACTACCTCCCTCTCTCAGTCATGGTCCCTGCCTCTCTCTCTCTTTCTTTTCACCATTTAAAAAGTGTTGCGGTTTAAGAGACTGTACAGGGCTCTTTAATGATCCAGGTTGTTTTTCTGAGAAGTCATTAAAATGGTCTATTAAACCATTAAGAAAATAAGACATCACTTCTGGTTCTTTGTAGGGTTTTTGTGAAGAAAAGTCCCATCAAATGTTTATCAAATACTTGGGCCCTAATATATCACAATATAAATGAATTCAAGAGAGAGAGTTTGATTACACTGCAAAATTCTTTAGCTGTTATGGTGTTTCTCGGAATTTACCCGCAAAGGATGTATTTCTTTAAAAATCGACTTCTAGGATAGTAGCATTTAGATTTTAGTCCTGATAAAGGCTCACTTTCCATTCATAGTCAGAACCTAAATGTGCTCTTCTTGTACCTAAACAGATAATAAGCACTCAGCACACTCCCCCTTCTTGACACAACACACTGAGACTAATCACACATAATTGGAGAGGAGGAGCAGAGGGGCTGGGCAGGCTATTGTGTCCAAAGGACAAATGGTCAGTTTATGAGGCTTTTGTCTGATGCATAATTTCTTATACATTTACAGGAGAAAAAGTCCTGCTGGAAAAAACTATATATATAAAAAGCCTTCAACACTGAAGCAAATAAGGACATGGATAGAAAAATCAGCAGTGGAATTAAATGAGTAAGAAAAAAAAGGGCGCAAATATTGGAGCATTCAATAGGTGCACTTTTAAAAGATCTTAAGACAACTATGTCCTTGCTAATTAAATGTGAAT